TCCCACCCCTCTGAATATTCTGGTGTTGCTTCCTACTTTCCTGTAAAAATTTTGTTTTTGAAACCCCTCTCCCCATTGGAATTTCCGTTAACCTTCCTAGGGAGGGTATGGATATTTTCTGGAACTGCACATTTCAGCCACAGCTTGGCATTGCTTGGACCAGAGTTTTCCATGCTAGAGAAGAAAAGCGCAACATAAATATTCTATCGTTAGTGACTTGTAAGTCACGTGACATATGGAGATATGACCATGGGCTCAGTTGAGTTGTTAAACTGTAGATCTCGTAGATCCATGATTAAAAGTTTTAACAAAGTGTTTTATTGCAGAATTGTGGTTTTAAATTGGTGGCAGCAGTGAACAAAACAAACTTTATATCTACCTGTGGTCAATGGAGATATTTTGATGGCTTTTGCAACTGAATATCATCGTTTTGTGTGGTTCTGCGTGGAAATTTGGCAGCTTGTGTGTTTGCTTGCGTGGTTTCATCAGTTTGAGATGGCGGAAAACTCAATTGTGGAGTCAGAATTCAAAGAGATGAGTTGTTCGACGCCAGTTACCCCTTTTAAGCCAGGGAATCCATTTACACCAGAGTCTGATTCAAGTTGCCAATCTCACTCTGCAAACCCATTTGCGCCAGAGAACAAATTAATTATTCAGCTAATTTTTTTACACACCACCAGGAGTTTATGAAACCTGTCAAAAATCCTCCGGATTATGACGGTACTCAGTCGCTACGAGATTATTTGAAACACTTTGAGTGTTGCTCTAATGTTAGTGGTTAGAGCAAAGAAGAAGCCGCTGTATACCTGGCACAAGCCTTCATGGAGAAGCCCAAAAGGTGCTAAAAGGCCTGTGATACCAACTCTCAAAATTACAAGAAGATTGTTGACAGACTGGAGCTTCAGTTAGGAGTTAAAAAACAACACGAGCTGCACCAGCCACATCTGCATAGTCATCACCAACAGGAAAATGAGAGTGTTCAAGCTCTTGCTGCAAATATCTGGTCTGTGTCCAGTCTAGCTTATCAAGATTTGTCTCCTGGCACTCAGGAAAGATTTGTCATCCAGAATTTCTTTGATGACATCAAAGATCAAGATGACAGGCTCGGATTATGCAGAGATAAACCATGCACCATGGATGAAACACTGTCGTTGGCTTGTGAACTTGAAGCATTTTGTCTCTTGTCTGGGGATTGGCGAGGAAGCTCTCCTAAGGTTTGCTCTGTTGATGAAGTTGAAACAGAGCCTGATTTATTTAAAGCTCAGATGGAAATGTTACGTTCTGACCTTCAAGCGCAACAACATCAGGAGACTCAGCAAGATGCTCTTCAACAATTAGTTCAGCAGATACGACGGCTCTCCCAGTCAATGTCTCTGAACACCTCTGAAAACCAGCAACGCCCACCTGCTCCACTATATTTCAGTCGAAATGGTCCATGCTGGGATTGCAAAGAATTTGGCCATTACCGTTGTAACTGCCCCGCATGCAAGTCACCTGACCACAACAAACTGGACTAGGGAAACGGCAGCAGGGTGCCACCCAAGGGCCAGGGGGATGCCTGAGTGAGAGTGATGCTGGCCCCACTTCTGAACATGATGTGAACAATGCTATTCCACAGCCATTGTCAAAGCAGGATATGGGTTGTCGTGATGTGCCCATGGAAAGGTCACAAGTTAGTAACAAATTACGAGACCTTCATTTGCCAGGCTTTATTGGTGGAACTCGTGTTATGTGGTTGATAGACACTGGTGCTGCTCGGTCGATTGTGTCATTCAAGATTTATAATTCTTTACCTGCCAGTGTCAAGTTTAGTTTGCGATTGCTCTTGCTGATGGTCAGCAAGCAAAAACACATGGTTTGAGACATGTTGTAGTGTGGCTGGGTACTAAAGAGTTTGAAATGCATGTAACTGTGGCTGAGGTTGAGGATGAGGGCATTCTTGGTATGGACTTCCTGTCACAAGCTGATTCACATTGTAAAAAACCAAGTGTGGATTAATGGAAAAGTGTTTGATTGTAAGTTCTGATTTCAAGAACCAGCCCCTAGTTTGTGATACATGGTGTGACGGTCAACAGTTATTGAACCTAACACTGAGGTGATTGTCCCAGTCACTGTTCACAAACGTTCTACTAACTTAAATCCAAAGGCATCTCAATTGGGCATCCAATTGTTAGAGCCTTGCCTTACTTCACATTTGCAACAAAAAGGCCTCTATGTTGCAAGGACTCTGGTGGATGTAAAAGAGGACAGGGGTGGTTCCCTAACATGTTTTCAATGATTCTGACGAAGTTTACAACTTGGCTGCCCAGGCTTAAAGACTGTGGTTGCCCAAGATAAGCCGGTTATTGATGTCACTTCACTGGAGCTTTATGAAGAGAATCAAGAGACTGTTGTGGGCCAAGCCAGAGTAATCAATCAGCATGTGTTACACAAAACCATTGAAAGGACTCTACCAGAATCCCTACAGGAACTTTTACAAAGGAGCACAGAGCATCTGACTGACAGTAAAACTGAGAGACTGCAAGAGTTACTGTACAATTACCAACATGTGTTCTCCCTTTCTGAT